TAGAGAAATAATTCAGTTTAGAGCGATACACAATTTGACTCCAATTTTGAACTCTTCGAAGTTTTCATTGAAATTTTGGGGGAAAACCATTCGGAGAATTAGTTCGCCAATTGATTTCGATCCATTTAAACACGTTACTAATGTCACGATAAACTAAACATGGAAATTACTAGTAAAAACAACTTTTCGTTAGCGATATAATTCAGCTCATGCATATTAATGCAAGTTTTTGTTATTGACTGTCTTAAGCTGATCAAAATAAACTCAAATGTTTATTTTTTAACCGACTAAAACTCTTACAATAACAACGAAAGCTAAAGGAGAAAATAGCAACTCTCGAAAATCATAATAAAACGACAAAAATATAAACGTCAATTTAATAACTGTATAGATCTGATTATTTAAGTATTGCCAACTCATCTTAATACAACAACCAAATAACCAACCAGTAAAAGATAGTAAAGTAGCAGTAGCTTTATATTTACGAAAAAAAAAAAACCAACAAAAACATTAAAAAACCTGTTGCGTGTGAAATGTGCAACATGCATCAACCTCGTGATCATCAATAAACATACAATATTGATAATGTCTACACAACCGAGAGCGAGCAAACAGTGTCACACAAACACCAATCATAAATGTTAAGAAAAAGTATGAAATAAAAAAAAACGCTGAAATGTTTTATATTCAGTTTTTTTATTCAAGCTAATTTTAATTTATAAGGTACGTTTACGTGGTGTTAACAAAAAAGAAACAAAATATCAATAAGAATATAAATAAAGTTAACAATATAAAACAACCAAAATGTAACAAACGACCAAAAGAAAAAACAACAACCGGCATTTTATTTTAAAACCAAGTCGGTAAATAACGGTCTTATAAATTTGCACAAAATGCAATTTAATTGGCAATGCAGCAAAGGAAACCATTTGTTTTAAAAATTTATACAAAAAGAATTTTGTTAAATTAGCAACATAAAGACAATTTTCAGTATAGAAATAAGAAATAACAAGCTAAAAAGTTTGTTTCTTTTTTTTTTTTGGTTTAACAGCCACCACACTGCCCAACATTTAACTGGGGAAAACTGGTAATACATGTACGGCTACAAACTGGAAACATGTTTTCAATACTTTACAAAAAAAAACTCAATTCAATTATTTTTAAAATAGAACAAATATTTGTTAACAAAAAAATGGAACTGAAATACATATGTACATGGTAGTTGTTAGGAACAGCATAGATTTTAAAACAATGACAGTAAACAAGTACAGTGGGAAACAGTTAAATAGCAACACTGTGCAATTAAAGTAGAATTTTGAAATTGGGAAAACGCATAAACAATTTTTCAGAATTATATTCTGCATTAAATTATACATCAAATAAGGATTAATTCCCGAAATCTTCAAAGAAATCCTGGGTTTTCAAAACTAGAACTAGAATTTGTTCCAAATTAATCCGTTGTAAGTAGAACGAGTGTAAACAAGACCAATTTTTATACTTAAACAACAACCTTGGAACTAAAGATGTCGACACTATTTACTTCTGAAACTAGTTCTAGCTTTTCAAGAAATCAGTTTCCTTAAACTAGTAATAGATTGCTTTTGAACTAAATGAATAAAACAGTTCCCATGAACTAGTTTTAAATTGCTTCTGAACTAAATGAATATTGATTTTACAACCTTCATTTCGCAAAGAATCTCTAGCAAGAATCAAAACCACAAACCTTAAGCTACAGGGATACTCGGAACATAGTTAAGCGGACTTTTAGCGATGATTGTGTTTTTCAGTTATGGAATTAAGAGCAGTTAACGTCGTTAGTATTGCCAACTTTTCAAAAACATAAACAATAAACAGCTGTTTTTTGTAAATATTACTTTTTTTAAATGAAAATAGATCCGTTAAGTCAATCAAGAAATAGCTACCTAGCAGACCCATTCTATGATCTGCTAGGACGGGGAAATGACAGAGGAAGTGAGTTATACTATCTTCTTCATCCTGTCAGCTGCTGCAGAAGTCATTACTGGATTGTTAGTTTAGTTTTCTTGCATGAAGCCCAAAGACCAGTGGCCAGTCAGCACCGCCGTTAAATTCCGTAGATTAACTCCCTCTTTGTGGTTTGAAAGATGACCACATGATTCTCGCCTGTCTGCAGATGGCCTCAGTCGACCATCTACATTGCGCAAGCTCATATAGTTTTTCACGTAAAGAGCGTTTGCAGGTTGAGAGCGGTATGCCGATAATAGATAAATATGGTTTTAAACCCGAAAATTATAAATGAAAATTGTTAAATGCTTTGATGCGGATGATTTCAAAACTTGTTTTGAATCATAATAATAATGCTTGACATAAATTTATATAAAAAAACAATTAAAACATAAGATTTGGAAAAAAAGACAACGGAAAATTTGTTTAATGTTAATTTTTATGTAAATGTATACATTCAAATTTCTTGCAAGTCATTTTGGACTTTTCATTTGGTGTAAATTTCTTGCTTTATAAAGCCAAATATTTTTGCCTTTAGAGCTGTGAATAGCTCACACAGGGAAGCTTTTTTTGGAAACTTTTAAATTTGTATGTAAGAGAAAGAGATGGTTGATATTTCTTTTCCTTTCTCTCACACACAAAATCAAAAGTTTTCCAAAAAAAAAAAGTTTCCCTGTGTTAACCAGCACTTATATTTTATAAAATTTTCGAAACTATACATACATATAACAAATAGACTTAGATATCAAGCTGTGAATAGCCCTAATATTATTATAATGCAGTTTTTTAATCATTAACATGAAATAATCATAAAAATTTGTTGGAGTTCTCAGATTTACATCAATTAATAGTAAATAAGCCGCTGTGATTAGGCTTAATATTTATTAAATATTAAACTGTGAATACCCTTAATATGCATTTTATTCGAAAACTGTTTTTTTTTATAAATTAACATAAATTAATAATAATAACAATTTGTGGCTTTCTGGGATTTACATAAATTTTATATTGAATTTTAAATTTATAGCATATTAATTATTTAATTAAAAAAAAAAATACTTTTAATAAAAATTAATACAAATTTACATAATTTTTGGGTTAATATCGAAAATTTATATCAACTTTAAAGTGCATTTTAAAAAACATATTTTTAAGGGTGGGTTTTCCGGATAAAGATAAACTACGTTCTTTGTTTAAACCTAGTTTAATCTATAGTTTGTGTTTTTCAGTAATCAGTTACGTTATTTATTATCTTAGTTTAACTGAGTGTTATTGGCCAATTAAACTTAAGTTATAAGTGAAAAAGAAAATAAACAATTCGGAAGAAGAAAAACTTAATTTTTTAAGTAAATAGTAATTTTTTGATTTGTTTTATCAATATTTTAATGTTTAATGTTTTAAATGTTTATTTTAATTTTTTCTAACACTTTTTATTTCTTAATAGTAATAGTAGCAAAAAACAGCTGTTCAATGTTTATGTTTTTCACTGAAAAGTTGGCAATACTAACAAAGTTAACTGCTCTTAACTCTAACTGAAAAACACAATCATCGGTTAAATTCCGCTTTAATTTGTTACGAGTTTAATCTAACAACAAATTAAGCCTAGTTTAACTGAGTAGTAAGAAACACGCCCTAAGTCATTTCTTATTTTCAATATTTTTGCTTGTTTTGTGTTTTTATTTTGACAGCTGATCTTTTTTTGCACTCAATTTGTTATATTTATTTCTAGACAAAATCTGCATTTACGCCCACGAAAATAAGAAAAACGTTTCGTTGCCATATAATATATTAAAAAAAAGTAATAAATATGGCATATAAATGACTTAACAACCGCTCTTTGCCATGCCTCCTATGCCGACATATTTATTTTTAGTTAAAATATAAAAAAACCAACATGAATAATCGTATGATTTTAAGAAAAGAAAAGTTTTATTTTCAATTTATATTATAATAAAACAATTCAGCATGTATGACGTATTGTTGTATGGGATTTATATACGATAACACAACAATACAACATTGGTTGTGAAGAGGGCAATTGTAAATCCTTTCTAAATATCAGTACCACTAAGAAATGGTTTAATATAAACCGATTTGACTCGATTTGATTTGATTTCTAAACATATAGATGTTACAACATTAAATTACATTGTTGCAATATATTACTTAGTACCAATTAAACAAACCATTTAAAAACTTGTGCAATTTTGTATTCCCGAGGCTTTAGGTATTTAAAAAATCCCCCTATTAAAAGTCAAATAGCAAAACGTGCAGTGCAACCTCTTAACAGATAGTCCGTCACACCTAATTGACTTTTCTTGTTGCCTTTTTATTTTGTATTCGAAACAATTTTCTAACTACGCCGTAAAGCAAAATTCCCGAAATAAAAAAAAATAAACGAAAACAACTTTCTTAAATTAAGCTAATTGAAATGAATTTAGAAGAATCAAAAAACCACCTTGAGACCTCTTGACAATTTAAAGCAAAACAACAATTTAAATGGCGCACGACCAAAGCCCCCCAGAAAAAAAAAAAAAAATAACAATACGATTCTATGCAATTTGAAAATCTTAATGAGATGTTAAAATTTAGCCGGTAGGAGGTGGTAATGCTGCAACTGAAATATATAACAAAGTCAATGACCATTTTTTATATGATTGTTATTTATGACAATTTTTAATGTTGAAACGCAACAGATATGTTCCAGCTCTAGGGGGGAGCTACACATCTATATAGCAAATAAATTGATATCGTACGATTGTTTATATGATGTATTAAATATGCTTTCTTTTATACTTATAATATAAAATCTAATTTATATTAATTTATATGCACTTTTCTGATAACATTTTTAGAAAACAACAACTTAAAATAAATTTGGTATAAAGAAAGAACCCCTCATAAGATAAGAGTTTTATTTGCCAGGGATACTTAGCATTAGGTTATTTTTAAATTCAAGGTTAATTGTTTTAATTAATATTCGTTTTTTATTCGTTTTTTTTTTTCTTTAATTTTAGTCGTGCCCGCAAAAAAGTCATATTTGCCGATGATGAAGGTCTATCACTTACCCAGGTGCGTGTTATGTCGGAGCCCTCGAATGTGCCACCCTATTGGAGTATGAAATTTTTGGAACAAATTACTCAGGGTTTGGTGACACCACATCCGGCCGATCAGTGGACGGTCGATTTTAAACAACCTGCCTCAGATTATTTAGCTTTTAGGTAAGTTTCATAAATTTCCAAAAAAAAATTCAAATGTAGATGGTCTGGTCTAGTTTATGGTCTGATTTATGGTGTGGTCTATGGTCTGGTCTATAGTGTGGTCTATGGTCTGGTCTGTGGTCTGGTCTATGGTCTGGTTTTTGGTCTGGTCTATTGTCTAGTCTATGGTCTGGTCTATGGTCTAGTCTATGGTCTGGTCTATGGTCTGGTCTATGGTCTGGTCTATGGTCTGGTCTATGGTCTGGTCTATGGTCTGGTCTATGGTCTGGTCTATGGTCTGGTCTATGGTCTGGTCTATAGTGTGGTCTATAGTGTGGTCTATGGTCTGGTCTATGGTCTGGTCTATGGTCTGGTCTATGGTCTGGTCTATGGTCTGGTCTATGGTCTGGTCTATGGTCTGGTCTATGGTCTGGTCTATGGTCTGGTCTATGGTCTGGTCTATGGTCTGGTCTATGGTCTGATCTATGGTCTGGTCTATGGTCTGGTCTATGGTCTGATCTATGGTCTGGTCTATGGTCTGGTCTATGGTCTGGTCTATGGTCTGGTCTATTGGTCTATGGTCTGGTCTATGGTCTGGTCTATGGTCTGGTCTATGGTCTGGTCTATGGTCTGGTCTATGGTCTGGTCTATGGTCTGGTCTATGGTCTGGTCTATGGTCTGGTCTATGGTCTGGTCTATGGTCTGGTCTATGGTCTGGTCTATGGTCTGTAATATGGTTTAATATATGCTTTGGTCTATTGTCTGGTCTACAGTGTGGTCTATGATCTGGTCTACAGTCTAATCTATAGTCTGGTCTATTGTCTGTTTTATGGTCTGTTCTAGTGTCTAGTCTATGGTCTGGGCTATGGTCTGAAACATGTTCTGGTCTATGATCTGATATATAGTCTGATATATTCTATATATTCCGACCTATGATCTAGTCTATGGTCTGGCCTACAGTCAGGTTTATTGCCTGATCTATAGTCTGGTCCATGTTTTGTCTATGATTTGGTCTTGTCTGGTCTACTGTGTGGTCCAATATCTGGTCTACACTTTGACATATAGTCTGGTTCTATGGTCTAGTCTGTAGTATGGACCAGACTATTGGTCTAGTCAGTGGTCAATAGAAGTTTTAAAATATGTTAAATATAAAAAAATCTAATAAAATACTTTCTTTTCATTTTAGACAATCTATCGAGAGTAATTATGTCTCTTTGGAAAATGTCATTGTCAAAGATGAGGAATCCATAGTGGTGGGCACCGTCAAGGTTAAAAACATCTCCTTCGAAAAGGAAGTCATTGTACGTGTTACCTGGGATGACTGGAAGAGCCAACAGGATATATTTTGTACCTACAATAAAGCCTACGGTCCGGCCACCTGTGCCCATGTCATCTTCGATACTTTCTCCTTTAAAATCACCCTACCACCCTCTTCCAAACGTTTGGAATTCTGTATTTGTTTCCGAGCCGATACCCAAGAATACTGGGATAATAATAAGGGTCTTAATTATACCATCTCCAAAAGATCACCCTTCTACTATAATGCTTTATCGCCTTACGATAAGAACTCATCATCTGCGTTAAACAATAGCAAAACAACAACGTGTCAAAGTCAAGTGAGATCGGCCCTAACGGAGGCCCTTAATAATACAACAAATGATTCCAAAAACAATTGGCATCATGAACCCAGTCCCTATTGGTAGAGTAGTGGACAGAAAAACCCTAATAAGGTTTATAAGATTTGAGGTTATAATATTTATTTATAAATTTTATGTAGCAAGGAACGAAAAGGCTTTTTAAAGCTACTTTTGGACCTCTATAAGCATAAAAAACTGCTCTAAAGCAAAACAAACTATACAAAATAGATACAATACAATGTATAATTTAACAACTGCCTAAAAAGGGGTTGTATTTTTTGGCGGCTCCAATTAAGAAAACAAACCACTAAACTATATCAAAAACCAAGGTCTAAAGGTTTTAAACCAGACATAAATTAAAGTAGACATATGGCTCAAGCATGTAACACGAAAAACAGAAGAACTTACGAGGACTGTTTAAACAAAACAACTATAAAAACAAACTAAAACTATTAAAGGAAAAGAAAATATATAAAACTAAACTCCGAAACCCCGAAATTTATATCATGTAAAGGGATTTAAATTGTTTCTAAAAAATATTTAAACAAAAATTTAACTATTTAACAAGGAACTTCAAAAGCAACTCTTGTCAAAATTAGTTGTCAAAAATCCGGCCTTTCAAGTATTAGTAAAGAAATGTAAACTCTCAGTTTAGGGTTTTCAAACAGAGTTAAATGAGAGAGTTTAGACAAGAGTTGTAGGTATTTTGAAAACGCCAAATATAGATTATTATAGATCACTTGGTTTTCCAGGTGTTATAACGCCATTTTGCTTTTTAAATACTTATATTTAGCATACTTTTAGGTTGATATTTATTGCTATTTATGTTGCCACAAAGTGTGTTATTTATAAAAATTTTCAAAATTGCCAACAATTTAAAGAATTTTTTTTTAAATTTCTCAATAAATTTGGTGTTTCAAATGGATATAACAATAAAATTTTGAAATTCAGAAATGTTGTGAAAGATTTTCTATAAAAATTGTTTTAAATTGTGAAAAACAGTTCTATTCTAAATTATGTTTTGAAAATTCTGAAGCTGTGTTTTAGAATTTTTAAAGAATTTCTTTGCAAGAAAATTTTGTAAAATTCCTGGTTTTGAATTTAGAATTTTCTTGCTAAAAAATCAAAGGTCAGATATTGACAACTTGTAATTGACAAGCTGTTTTCAAAATATGTATTGCAAACTAAAGACTCAGTTAGTTTCAACGTTCTGTAACGTAACGTATCAGCTGATTTGTGTTTTATCATTACGAAACGGAACGTAGAAACTAACTGAGCCTTAAAATGTCAATTATAAGGTTTCAATAACTCACTTTAGTAAAGATTTAAAACAATTTTGAAAATCTTAATTAATTTAACTGAAATTCAGAAAAAAAACCTTATTGATCATTAAGAAATGTTACGTGGATTGAGATTTAAAACAATTGGATGAATATATAGTGTTTAAATAACTCAAACTTTTATATTCATCTATCTAAATAATTCTATAAGGAATTGAACTAATTCAATTTTAAAAATTGTAAACATTTTAAAACAAAACTTTTTAATTTAAAAAGAACATTTCAAAGAAAAGGTTTTGTCACAAAATTAAGAGATAAAAAATCCCCATAAAGGGATCACTTTAATGAACTTTTTGTACAACACGATCAGTAATTTAACATTATCACGCAAATTTTTTTTTAAATTAATGATCGTAGTGTCGTTATAAGATCGTTATAAAGCTAATAACAAGAGCCACAATGCGTTAAATGATAACGATCAAAAACTTTATTCTACTGAGAGTTAACGATCGTTAACGAATGCTGCAATTTGGTCGATCAAAATCTTTATTTTACTGAGAGATAACGAACGTTATTGAATGCTAAAAATCTTTCTTTCAAATGCTTTAATATTTCTTTTTTCGAAATCTCTACCCAGATTTTATAGAGATAATATAATTTTTATAAAATTTCAACAAGGATCTACTTTTCAATACAGATAATACCAGAAAATGGCCACTTTTTATTCACATTCATAAAAAAGAAGCAAAATCAATAAAGTTTTTTATGAAAAAGACCTCTTAACTAATCACAACAGTTTTAAAAATGGCAAACATAACATTGTCTTCCATTTTCCAAGAAAAATTGCAATGTCACAGGGTTGCATTTAATGGACATGTGACAGTTATAAACAATATTTTTTGAATAAAAAAACTACTACTTTGACACAACAACTAGCTATATCTATAATTAAAAAAAATAATATAAAAATATTTCAAAAAAACATCCTCAAAAAAACAACTACTATATTTATAAATTTAAGTAAATTTAAAAAAAATGACATCTGTTTAAAAAATATATAAAAATTCTATAACTTTTTTAATTTTTTTATTAATATAGTTTGTTTTCTTCTTTAAAAAAACACACACACAAAAAATTTGTTTCTTTGTTTTCAATAACAGTGAAAAAATTTAAAATTTGCTTCAAAACCCCCGGCAGGGCATAGGAAAAAATTATAGAAAATTCTTCGAATAGTGGCCATATACAAAAACATAAACTAAAACTGTTATAACAAAAAAAAATACTTGGAACTTTTAAGACTGAAAATTGTTATTGAAATAAAGAAACAAAACTATATAAAAAAAAAGATTTTAAACCCCCACATTTGATTTTATTTTTCTTTAAATGCTCTATAATTCTATAAGAAAATCTGTAATAATATTTGTAAATGTTTTATGTAACATGTTTTGTTTGTAATGCGTAAATTTGTTAATTTAGTTTTGTACATAAAATCAAAATTAAATCGCAGAATTATAATTAAAAATAATAAAAAACTTTATAACTCTAATTGTAGTTTAAAATTTTTTAATAAAATGTACTCATATGAGCTAAGTGTTTATTTTTTTATATATTCATTAGTTTTTTTTTTTTTTTTTAATAATAATCAATTTTTAATTGTAGTATAGTTTTTAATAATTATTATATATATTTTTTTTAAATTAAGTTTTAAAAGTCCTTACTACCTATGATTTTTTTAAGGACTCATAAATGCTATTATGTTAACTTTTTTTTACAATTATTGCCATTATAAAATAAATAATAAAAAAAAATATATATTTTATAAACGAAATAATTATTGGACTTTTTATTTAAACCGACAGTTTAGGAGAGCCAAAGAACGGTTAAAAATGGATTAACAAAGTAAATAACTAAGGGCCGGCTTCTTACTACATATTCATTTAATTGTGAAAAAAACAACAACAAAAATTTGATGAAATTCCCTGTTCACCCAAGGACAATATTGAAAAAGGTTGAAATCGCTCCATTAGTTCACCTAGCCCCTATATAACGGTACCACTCGCTTCTGAGCTTAATATTATGTTAAATGTTCTCGTATCTCTACAAAAGTTTCATACAAATCTAAGGCCTGGTACTACTCAGTTAAGCTAAGCTTAACTAGCTGTTAGATTAAACTCGGAACAAATTTAAGCGGACTTTAACTGATAATTGTGTTTTTCAGGGCGGGTTTCTTACTACTCAGTTAAACTAGGCTTAACTTTCTGTTAGATTAAACTCGAAACAAATTTAGGCGGACTTTAACCGATGATTGTGTTTTTCAGTTATGGATTTAAGTTCAGTTAACTTTGTTAGTATTGCCAACTTTTCACTCAAAAACATAAACAATTAACAGCTGTTTTTGGCAAATAATACTTTTGTAAAATGAAAAATTTTGGAAAAATGTTAAATAAATATTTAAAACAATAATAAATAAAACAAAACAAATCAGAAAATTGCAATTTACTTAAAATATTAAGTTTTTGTTTTTCCGAAATCATTGTTTTTGTTAATTGTGTATTCCCACTTATAACTTAAGTTTAATTGGCCAATAACACTCAGTTAAACTAAGATAATAAGTAACGTTACTTTTTACTGAAAAACACAAAACCTATATTAAACTAGGTTTAAACAAATAATGTAGATTATCTTTATCTGAAAAACCCGCCCTGAAAAACACAAAATATAGCTTAAACTAGGTTTAAACTAAGAATAAAGATTATCTTTATCAGAAAAACCCGCCCTATATAACGTAACTGATTACTGAAAAACACAAAACATAGATTAAACTAGGTTTAAACAAAGAATGTAGATAATCTTTGTCAGAAAAGCCCGCACTTATTCGATCTTTAACTGCTACTTTCTAAATTTTCCGTAATATTAAGACTAGAACCATAAAATCTAACTTAAAGGGTCCTGTTTAATTGAAAATCTATAGTTAAGGACTTTTCGGTACATTTTCGTTCTTCAACCGTTACTTTTTGAGTTGTTTTGCAATACAAAACGTAGAAGCATACATGAAAATCAATAAAAGGGGACTTTCTAATAATGCTATCAGAATTGTACATTTGTCTAACTTAAAAATGTACAATAATTATTTTATTCTATTACGATGAGGGTAGCGAAGTACACTGGCTATAGCTAGTTTGTAATAACTTCAATAATTTTGTAGAACTACCAAAAACTTCAGCCTTCTTATTACGAACTTTGCTTATTACGAACAAATTTGACTGGTCTCTCTCAGGATTTTGTAATGTTGTTGTTGTGCTTGTAACAGCTTAAATTATACAATTTTTAATGCGGAGGTTTTCTAGTTAAGTTCAAGTCAATAAATTGGGGTACTTATACAGGGTTAGCTCATAAATCCATTGGGCTAAGTAAAGTAGGGTGGACTGGACAGTTGAATATGTGGGGGGAGTCATAGAAGGTCGTTATAAAGGGATTTGACTGTATTAATTATTTATTTATTCTCCCGATAAACATTATACTACTGTTTACAATGCATAAAAGGGCCCACACACAACACCAGCATGATGGCACAATAATTTTGTTGTGCTCTCATGCTCGAACTGGAGGACAAGTTGGAGATTACAAATCACTTAAAATATCTGACAGGTGGCATTGGAAGTAGAATACTACTAAAATAATATTAATTTTCTTTATGCTCTACATCTCTTACCTTCACCAATCCTAGTTATGCGCGCCATAAGACTAGAGACCACCAATATTGAATTCCACACACAAAATATCGACTTTATATTCATCATTACAATCAGGTAGAGTTGTAAGTGCAAGTAACGAAATAATGTTTATTGTTTTGCTTTCTGTTTACGATTTCAAAATTTTAAAAAACAAATTCCACAAATTCACTCACTAAAATTTCAATTAATATTTTCCAAGGTAAAGCAGTGTTGCCAAATATTATTTTTATTTTTCAGCACTAAACTTATATTAGGGAGCTGCAAATCGACTTTAAAATAATCGAAGAATCGATTTTTTTGTCGGAAGTGTCGAAAAGTCGTTTATCCTGTAGGAAAAAGTCAAAGAATAGATTTTGCAAATAAAAGTACGCACATAAAGAAAACAACCCGACGAAAAATAAAACAAACCGTAACAGCTGTTTTATCAAAATAAACATTTTTTTTGGTGTGGTGAGTTATTTTTGTTTACAAATATGTGTTTCTGCACGTGGAAAAGACGCAAAAACTCGTTTTCATTATTTACATTTTCAATATGTGTTTATGCACGTGGAAAAGATTCAAAAAATTGATTTTCATGATTTACTTTAAAAAAAATATTTTTGATCAATTAAAATATGTATATAAATGTGGAAAGGAACAAATCTGATAAAATATAAATATATTTGGGATTATATCGTTACAGAATGCCTTTTAATAAAAAACATTCGAAAAATGTTACTATGGTCATATATAGAAAATGATATATAAATGATATCGGACGATCTTGTGCACGATAAAAACCTATATAGAACTTTAAGTTGGAAGTGTAGAAATCGGATGGCATACATTTTTTTCCGGATTTCATCGTTCTAGGGTGTGTACTACAACAACAAACTTTTTTTTACAAAAAATGTTACTATGGCCGTATATATAAAATGATATATAAGTGCTATCGGACGATCTTGTGCACTATAAAAACCTATATAGAACTTTAAGTTGGAAGTGTAGAAATCGGACGGCATACATTTTTTTCCGGATTTCATCGTTCTAGGGTGTGTACTACAACAACAAACTTTTTTTTTACAAAAAATGTTACTATAGCCGTATATATAAAATGATATATAAGTGCTATCGGACGATCTTGTGCACGATAGAAACCTTTATAGAACTTTAAGTTGGAAGTGTAGAAATCGGATGACATACATTTTTTTCCGGATTTCATCGTTCTAGGGTGTGTCCTACAACAACAAACTTTTTTTTTACAAAAAATGTTACTATAGCCGTATATATAAAATGATATATAAATGATATCAGACGATCTTGTGCACGATAAAAACCTATATAGAACTTTAAGTTGGAAGTGTAGAAATCGGATGGCATACATTTTTTTCCGGATTTCATCGTTCTAGGGTGTGTACTACAACAACAAACTTTTTTTACAAAAAATGTTACTATGGCCGTATATATAAAATGATATATAACTGCTATCGGACGATCTTGTGCACTATAAAAACCTATATAGAACTTTAAGTTGGAAGTGTAGAAATCGGACGGCATACATTTTTTTTCCGGATTTCATCGTTCTAGGGTGTGTACTACAACAACAAACTTTTTTTTACAAAAAATGTTACTATGGCCGTATATATAAAATTATATATAACTGCTATCGGACGATCTTGTGCACGATAAAAACCTATATAGAACTTTAAGTTGGAAGTGTAGAAATCGGATGGCATACATCTTTTTCCGGATTTCATCGTTCTAGGGTGTGTACTACAACAACAAACTTTTTTTTTACAAAAAATGTTACTATAGCCGTATATATAAAATGATATATAAGTGCTATCGGACGATCTTGTGCACGATAGAAACCTATATAGAACTTTAAGTTGGAAGTGTAGAAATCGGATGGCATACATTTTTTTCCGGATTTCATCGTTCTAGGGTGTTTGTAGTACAACAACAAACTTTTTTTTACAAAAAATGTTACTATAGCCGTATATATAAAATAATATATAACTGCTATCGGACGATTTTGTGCACGATAGAAACCTATATAGAACTTTAAGTTGGAAGTGTAGAAATCGGATGGCATAAATTTTTTTTCGGATTTCATCGTTCTAGGGTGTGTACTACAACAACAAACTTTTTTTTTACAAAAAATGTTACTATAGCCGTATATATAAAATGATATATAAGTGCTATCGGACGATCTTGTGCACGATAAAAACCTATATAGAACTTTAAGTTGGAAGTGTAGAAATCGTAT